TACCTGTACCTACAATCAAACAAGCGCACCTGGCTATCCTCATAGGTAGTACAGGCAAATGGTAGGGGTGCCAGAGTACTGTACGGGTGCATAATGGCCCATAGGAAATAAGTGAATGTGGATGATGTTCACTTGTGTTTCTGCCTGCTCAGACCAACTGCTTGGCAGAGGCACACACAAACCTCTTTGAAAGTGTGCATACAGTGACACAGTGCAAAAGACTGCACAGACATTATATTCTTTTTTCCCTTTCCCCCCTCTTTATTTTCCCAAGGCTGGACAGTGTCTAATTGATTTTTACCTGTCGTGGTAAATTACAGGTAAAAATACAGTACAAAGCTTTTGCCAGGGTTGCTGCCAGTTATTTGCGTTGCCAATAACCAGTTAGTGCTACCACACTTACACTAGACACCTCTTTTGCTTGGGACTATAATCAGTCCTGACACAAGTTGAGTCACTTCCATCCACAATCTCTCTAAGTGTGTATCACAGGCATGTTTGAAATGCATCAGAGCTTCCCATCCATCTGAGTTTTAAGATGTCTCCATGGAGATGATTGACGACAGTAAAAGGCCGCTCAGGAGAGAGGCCCCAGGTGAACAGATGAGATCACAAATCTCATCTCTTTCTCTGTCTCATTCTCTTTCTCTGTCACAGTCTCTCTCTCATCTCTCCCTCTCTGTCTCCCTCTCTCACTTTCTCTCTGCAACATACACAAACAGGTGCAACACTCACAGTGCCTATCCAAACATTTTCATCACTTTTTTTCCCACTCCTTTCATCTTCTTGTAAGTAGTAAAAGGTGTACAGAAAAATGTTCAATGGAAAAAAGAAAGAGGAAGAAGTCCCAGACAGAGCCTGAGCTACTCTTCAAGGTTCCTGTGAAGATGTGAAATGAGACTCTGCGGGATGAATTTGGAGTCTGGACATCTTTAAAAGGACTGTCATCAGGGTTTAGATTAAGGGGGGCTTGAGGGGGTCTGTCCTCCCTGATAACATACAACAAACAATAATAACAGTAACTATCTAACCTGTTTAATACAGTTTAATACACTGTTTCTGAATTCGGTTGTGTCAAGAAGCTACGGATAAACACTAATGTTAGCTAGTTTCTAACTTTTGCCTAATGTTACAGTTTAGCTAATTTATTTTAGCTAGCTGATAGCACGCCCTTTAATTTCCAGTGTTGGCTTGGCATTTCATTACCAACACACCAAACACTGGTGCTCAGTCATGACCAGTGAGAGAATGGAGGGTTAGTTTTTGTAGAGATGCGTTTTGACATCAATATAGAGTTTGTCATTTAATTTTAATGGTCTTTTGTGTGGTTGTGGTGGTTTTTAGTCTTAACCTTTTTGATAATAGCTTCTATAACATAAACACCCTTTGTTTTCACTCAGGAATTCAGGAGTTTTACTTGGTTGGATAATTGAACAATATTAAAATCCATGTGTGCTGAAGGCTAAGTAATTGTATTAGCAGTGGTGAAAAGTAATCACACACATTTACTCTTAGTACTGAGTATTTCCATTTTATGCTACTTTATACTTCCACTACACTAGCTACACTTCAGAAGGAAATATTGTACTTTTTACTGCAGCACATGTATTTGACAGCTTTGGTGAAACAAGATACAGTGAGGACTGTAACACTAAAGTTCACTGAAGCACATGACTGCACTGTACTGCATTGTCTTTTGCCCCATAGAAAAAGTTGACAGAGTATAATTGGCTCTCAGGTTGGGATAGTGCACATAGATACCACAGCTTTTGTTTTACTCTTCATCAGTGAAAATAACCATAAAATGACCTTATAGGTCCTCTAATCTTCTGAACCTAGTCAATAATTTCTGAATCATTCAGTATTTCTTAACTGTGAAAACAGATGCTAATGTGGGCTTTCATGGGAAGGTGAACGAGGAAACAGTCCAATAACTTTGCTTTGGTTGCTGTATGTGCAGTTGTGGCGAGTGTACACACCAAAAGACAGAGGAATTGCCACAGGCTGAATTCAAGGCCACTTTCACCATCAACCTCGAGGAATTTCAGCAATTTAGCATTTCTAAAACATTTCAGAATCTTGGCACTGAACAATGGCCAGAAGCTATGAAGAACCTTGATTCTGCTATCATGTCCCTCTGTCATGTCATTTCATTAGTATAATGACCCATCGATTTAGCGTTTATGCAACAAATTGTATTGAGGCTGGCTGTGGGCCAAGTCAATCACAGGCAGGGCCGGCTGTGCATCTTGGCAAAAGGAGGTGATTAAACTGACTTGGGAGATGAGCAAGGAGAATTCCTGTTTCCCCAACCTGACAAACAGGATAGGGCTGATAGCACCACACCTGACTGGGTTTCCTCTATTCTTACCTTGTCGCCCTCAGGGTTGGGAGGAGGCAGGTGGGTGCGCTTCGCCCAGGTTTTGGCACAGTTACCCATACGAGGTACGTGTCGGAGAAATGTGGATGTTCAGTGCGGCAGCAACAGATGGACTTGGCAACATGGGTGAGGATTGGAGTGTGTTCACGCTGAATCACTATCAGGACAGGAATAGTTTGAAATCCTGCTCAACCTCAATGTGAGTTTGCTCTTGTTGAAGCAGATTTGGCTGTCTTTCAACACAGCCCATGTTCCCCCACCTGTAGACAGACATTATAGTAATATGCCTGCAAAGACCAGATTCTCTGCTTAACATTCACACCATGGTTTCTCTTGGCAGGACTACCTGATTTGCATATGATGTGTTAATTTTTCTCTGTGTTTGACCTTTGACCTGCAGCAGTTTGAGAGATTGAACTGAACAGTGTAGGGGGCGAGAATGCATTACTGAGTAACGTGTTGCAGTAATGTGATTACTTTTTTCATAAACAGGTAATGCCTGTTTCTTTACCTGCATTATTACTTTGATATTTATGATAATGTGGGTCAGCTTTTTTGCCGTCTTAGTAGGGGATGCATGGGAGGGTGTATAACAATTTCATCTTTCATGTGCCCATATTAGCTTAGCGTGGGGGTTGACGGTGTGGCGAGTAAAATCCCAGTAAAATCTTATGTACATCCTGTATCACCTGGGTTTTGGATCAGAGGGTTGAGGGTTGTGTGAATTCCACAACCTCAGTGTCAGAAACTGCCTTTTTCTAGTGCTGCATGCAAGCCGAAGGTCATCTTTTTGTTTTCGTTTTGCGATGTGTGCGTTGTCACGTTGTTGTTTTTTTTTTGTTGTTTTTAATACACCTTTTATACAACACATCCTGTGATGGTCATTACAAATAAAGGGGATATTAGCCGATATGTTAGATATAATTTATTCAAAACCCTTACACTTTGATGAACGTTTAACCTTTCCACCAACATGTTGTCTGTCACTGCATGTGGTGACAATGGCAGGTAGCCACAGACATGTTTCACCCGTCTCAGTTCTGCTTCAACAACGAGCCTCAAAAAAAAAAAAAAGATTGCCGTTTGTCCCCATTCATCTCACATGCTGCTCCCACTTTAACATATTGGCATTTCTGAGGTGCTTTGCGGTAATTGTCAGCCACATGGCGGCTCCTCGTTTGTTTCACTGACATTTTGCCTTTGGTTGATTGTGTATTTAACGGGCGAAGGAAAGCAAAATTAATTGGAGAGAAGCCCTAATCTGTCTGCTTGAAATGTCACCCCTGTATTGTGATGCCTACACTGACACAGTGGCACATAAGAGGCAGCGACAGAGCAGAGAGAGAATTAGAGGAATCTAGAGGAACAGAGAAAGAGAGAAGAAATGATAAAACAAGATGAAAAGCATTAAGTCGTGGAAAATGATGTGTTTATATCTTCTGATAACAGAGGTTGTTTTTTTGTTTACACCGCATGTCTGTTTATTTTCCTACTAATATTAATTTGTCCAGAATCTGAAATCTGACAAAGATAAAAATCGCATAAAAACTGGAATAGTCATCCCTGTCATTTCAGAGCGCCTTAATCTCACCTGTCCACTAGTCACCACTGCTGAGTTCGCTGCTACTATATGCCCACTACCTGACCTAGTTACAGTACCTGCATACACAGCTGATCCCTTTTAGCCTTGGTGTATAAACAGTAGTGGACTGTTGATACTCTCAGATCAGCCTTTGTGCTGCAGTTTTGCTCTCAGCTGCTCTTGTTGACAACCCTGTTGGGTTTGTCTTCACATCGACTGCAAGCCCGACTTTAGACCTGGTAAAGAAACACCATATACTTGTACATCATTTGAGCACAGAAAAACAAAATGTTGATCACTACACATGGACCAAAGTTGAGGTTTCAAGGTCAGTTAAAGAAGTGGCTCCCTTATCCTCATGTAATAGAGGAGAATTTATGCATTTGAGAAATGCATGATCTTGCATGTTGCGTGTCTGAGATCGCAGTCGTGATTTGAGCAGCATATTAAAAGTTAAGTGCATCTTCCCATCATGTACTTCCCCACGATGGCTCGACCTCTTCTGTCCACCCACGCACTGTCTCACATGTGAGACATGTACTTGTGTAAAACGCTCGACACCTTAGACCCATGGCTGTCGCTCAGATGTGGGGGGTGACCAAATGTCCTATTTAAATCGGGCAGTCCAGATTTTCGTGCACTTGTCCCCGCTCAGTGTATCATGCATCAGGGTCCTTTTTAAAAGGCTCACAAGAGTCATTTAAGGTATTATTTACTTGTGACGTGACATTAAGAGAATGAAATGCATTCTTTGTTGTCGTGAGTTTGCTGAATAACTTTTTCTAGATGACCTCAGACGAATGTGTTGATGAGGATGTCGTACAGTTGCATCATGCTTGTCAAAGCATTTTAATTAATCACAAGTCTCTATTATTAGAGGCATTGAACTGAATACACCTTTTGTCCTTGTTACTGAGTCGTCACTGAAAGCTTTGTTTAAAGTTTTCCATGACTTCAGATGAGTCCTACTTTTTCTGGTCATTTTAAGAGAGGGTGGGGTTACACCGGAAGTATTCTTTCACACACACTCAAGTCCACATAGTTTTTATTATTATCATGATGTAACACTTATTTTACATTACTTAAAACCTCTCAACTATAAATATACAACATCCAAATACTGTGTCATTTTGATCAATCAGAAGCAATCAGTCTCATAAACCTTCAAAGTATCCAAACAAACCTCTTACAAAGACGTACTGATTAAAGTCACATTCATTCTTGCATTCAGTACTACTAATGTGTAACTGTTCTTTTTTTTAATAATGAATATTCCCTTTCTAGTTGGTTTTATGGAAACAGTTGAATATAGTTCATGTTAAATAACTTGTGGATAGCGAGCTTACAAAACTCAAAGTGAGTATTTTTCATCTCAGATTAGAAGAGAGTCACACAGCATGGCTCACACAGCGTGCTGGAGGACACTGAGAATCAACGAAGCTGTGAAAAGTTGGTCCTGATGTCCAAGGTTAGGTTCTGAAATTTAGAAAATAATCATCATAAAATAATCATGAAAGTAATGAAAAAGATAGATTAACACTTGAAAAATACTGATACTACTTCAACTATTTGTCCATTTGAATTGCTTTTTATAAGGCTGATTCCAATTGAAAAATATTAACTCCACTATGGCAGAATTGAAATTGCAGTGCATATACACATAAAAAAAAAAAAAGAACACTAAATTTCAGGCTTATACATTAGTGTTTGCACAGATTGATACACTTCTAAGCAGGAAATTATTTTCCCTTCTGTCTGCCATCAGAACAGCCAGTGATCATAGCCAAACAGGTGTAAGGTGCTTTGCTGCTTCTTTGCTTGAGACTTACAGACAAACATGCGGATGCACATGCCGCACCAGGCGACGACACTGGAGATCTGGAGCGCCCTGCCGCACTCCGGGCTCATGAGACAGTCCCTCGTCCGCAAGCAGCACTTGGGACAGCTGCTCTCCGAGCTTTTACTCTCTGTCTCGCTGTATCTCTGGGGCTGAGTTTGCCGTGTGTCGTGGTGCTTTTCGTCCCACTCCTCACTCTCACCTCTACCCATGTTTTTTTTTTTGTTTTTTTTTTGTTTTAGTATGAGTGCAGTAGTTTGAGGACAGATGGATTGGATCTGTGAAGAAAATGGCAAGAATGTAATAGTGTGTTTGTATGTATATATGTGTGTGTGTGTGTGTGTGTGTGTGTGTGTGTGTACCACAGTTTCACTACAGCTGAATTTTCACAGGGAATAATATGAGCTGCAGTTTGTGCCCACGCTCTCAGGCTCCCACAATACAGGCTTTGTTTACAATAACAATGTCATTATGTCCAATGTCATAATGCTGTGATTTTGTTTTGTTTGGTGAGACTTGGCAGCCCTCGCTATATCAGTGAATGCTGTGATTCAACCTTTGTTCGTTGCACTTACTAGGGTGTGTTTTGTTATCACATCTATCTTACTTTGGTTTTAGGAATGTTTGCAGCTACCCAGGTAACATTCCTGCCTCAAACACTTCCTTAAAAACACATAGGTCCTTTTTTTTTTTTTTTTTTTTTTTTTTAATTATTTTTTTTAAAATAATCTTAACAAACATACAGCAACACACAAATTTAGCAATTTAGCACCATGTAAATGAATCACTTCTATCAGAGAGGACACTGCAGCCTTGAGTCAGTCTATTCAGATTTAGTTTGCCTATCTAGGTCTATTTATTAGTCCTTTTAAACAACAGAACTCTTCAATTTCAGTAAAGATAAAATCATTTTCCACAATTGTGAATCATTAACACTGCGGCCCAAACTTGAGTCCCTTTATGAAGACTTTATTGAGTGAAGTCACATTGATTTGACAGATTAACAATTCTTCCACACTGATGATCATTTCTCCTGCCAGGAGCTGAGCCCCCCCCCCCTTCCTCTGTTTTAACTGTCAGATACAATTGCTCCCCACAGACATTATCAGATATTAAGTGATAACCCTGATGGTGATATAACATCTTATCTGTGCCATCCGGTGGCTCCCCATTTATTACCACTGACAGTAAATTAGATTGTTGGCATCTGGGGGGTATACTGGCATTCTGAGTGCACCTTTCCATCTCATTCTGCTTTCAAAACTCCATTGGTTTTCAATCATAAGTAATGAAATTCCATCACCCTCCTCTGCTATGAAAGTATCTTGGAAAGGAAGTGAGAGAAGGCCATTAAGAGTAGAGAAAACGAGTAATGGTCTTACCCTTTGCTTTCAGGAGTTGCTCCTTTGTCAGTTTGTATCTCCTCTCCTTTTTTTTGTAGAGTTCAGTAAACACACACCTTTGCACCTCCTCACGCGCTGTTATGGGTGGTGTTGTCTGTGTTAAATGTCCCGGCTCACATGAACAGAGCGGGTGTGACTTCAGGTTTTACAGGTTTGACCAAGAGGACCGCCCATGATGTGAATGGTTTCACTTACAAGAAACAACCCATGTAATTTTGTGCTGAGTCTTAAAGGTGCAATCAGTTACCTGGGAGTAAACAAGAGGCTCAACCTGCCAATAACATTCGATAAATGCTAAACTCCAGTCACTCCCAAAAAACAGACAGATAGTTTACTGTAATACATGGAACAGAGAGAAACTCAAGCTACGTCAATAATGATGCTGTTTAATGGTTTTTTTTACGTTGGGAAACACATACATTTCTAATTATGGTAAATTGTGAAACTATTAAAACTATTATTATTCATAAATACATCAAAATCTTCAAATGTTAAAGTGATTATACTTCAAAAATGGCCAATAGATAGATAGATAGATAGATAGATAGACTTTCATTCTGTGGAATCGCAGCATTTCATTTGCATAATCTCTCCAATTAATTCATCTCCACACAGTAATAATGTCTTTTAATAGCCAATAACTAATACATTTCATCTCAGCTGCGTGTGACAGAATATATTGCACAAATGTGTTTCTCAGTGCTGCTGTGGAAATGCAATCAAGTTTTAATAAATAATTACACAGAATAATTAATAGATTAGACAGCACATTTCATTACATCATGAACAATGATGAATCGGGAAAAGCAATTTAGGGTAGCAATTAAAGCACAAACAATTTGAATATATTCAAAGAATTGCATTCAATTAACAAACGGAATTACTTACCGAGCCATTCATCATGAGTGTAAAATGCACAGTAATTCATTAATTTTGTCTAAACAGTACATTTGAAATGGTGAACAGGAAGAGAGGGAAACAGAGGAGTGTGTGTGTGTGTGTGTGTGCGTGTGTGCGTGCATGTGTGTGTGCGTGTGTGTGCGTGTGTGCGCGTGCGTGTGCGTGTGTGTGTGTGTGTGTGTGTGCGTGTGTGTGTGCGCGTGTGTGTGAGTGTGTGAGTGAGTGAGGGGGATACAATAAGAAATGTCCAGGAGGTTTTTTCTTTATTATGCAGGATTCTGTAATAATCAGATGCAAAAGAATGGTGATTCTTCCATCCAAGGACATACAATTGTTGCACTTGAGAGTAAAACTGTGCTGTGGGGAATGGTAGCAGTCAAGGAAGAAAATTTCAGTAATATTAAAACACCATGAGGTGAGAATCCTAAGCTCTGAGGAAACTTAAATTTCAGTTATCAGTTATTTTCTGGCATCTCTCTCGAGGTGGTTCAGGCATTAACTTCATAGCATTGCCACTTCCCGTCGATAGTTGTAATCCCAAAATGGATTTTGCAATAATTTTCTTCACCAATCACCACAGTTTTGAGTATAGACTGCCACTTTTACAAGCCAGAGTCAATTAAAAACAGACTTCTCCAAATGATCACTTTTAAAGTTATCTCAATGGCATACTCTAATTTCATATTTAAAACTAACCATAGAGCTGCACCACACATCATTGTCACTTATACATAAACTGTGTCCCAATTCAGAGGCCACAGCCTTCAGAGACTGCATTTGAAGGCTTTCTTTCCCTGGGCAATGAAGGCTCCAATGGGTGGATTCTTTGTGGCCCGACCTATCCCAAGATTCATTATGTAATATGGCAGCAAACAACACCCACAGAGAGCCAGAGGGTTACACAGTATTGGGTCAAAAACCTCAAGTTTTTGTTAAAAATGTCAAGGTTGCTAGGCGACAGGAGTGGCGCTTTGTGATGTAATGCTGAAGGGATGTCAAGCGGAAATCCTCTGTAGACCAGACCATCTCATTTTGGTTCGGCCTTCATAGTCTATGATGGCAACGAAGACCAAGCCTTCATAGACTGCGTCCTCCGAAGGATGCATCCCCTGAATTGGGACACAGCTAAAGACTCAAGTTAGAGCAAAGACAGTTACCAATCCAGCTCCTTGGCTAGCTATCTGTACAAGCTAACTGTCCAGGAAGACGTTGCTGGCATTAATCATATTTTTGATCAATATGGGGAATAGTTTTCACGTCAGTCAAAAGAAAATTAGAAGTCCGAAACATTATTTGACTGCCCCCAGGCTGTTTCAAGGTAAGAATCTCTAATGCTAACAAGGTAAAAAGAAGATGCAGCAATTCTACTGAGTCTGCATTAGTCTTGGTAGCACATGTGTATCCATACCACTTGGTTTACTCAGTGCTGTATGTGGCAGCAGGGTGCGATATGACATTTGCATTTTCACTTCCTCCACTTTTTTTTTCTTTTGTCTGTTCAGTTGCTCTATTACCCAAGCAGGAAGTATTTCCCAGTATCTGGCAGAAACATGACAAGCAGTCCATCCTATCAGATCACAAGTCCATGCAGCCACCACAATCCCAAGATGCACTCTGTCAGCTGTTATTGTTCTACACATAATGTTTTGGAATCGCTCAAACAACACCTCTCAAACCAACTATTTTCAAGGCTGTAGAAGTGCATCTCCAGCCAGCCCTGGAAGAAAATGTCGAACTGTGATCTGATGTTAAAGATGTAGATGAAGGAAGAATATGCTGCTCTTGACAGTCCATTATTCTGGCTGATGGTGCACCTGTCACCTTCATTCTTTGCACAATGAACACTGCACGAGATGACAGGAAACCCTGCCTTGAATCTGGTTTGCAGTCCTCCAAAAAAGTCTTAACTTTACACTTCAGTGTGACTGGTTTTCATCTGCACTTGTCTGTCAAAGTGTCAGAAATGCATGTTGGCCTCTGCTATGGTGTTTTGCTTAGCGGGATCGGGCAGTGCTCGTATCCAGGAAGACCCACATACCTGCCTGTCCTATGGTGGTTGACTCTAAGATCATTGTAACTGATATCAGGTGAACCTGAGCTTCTTCTTTTTTAAAAAAAAAAATTACAATATAATGCTGTGACAGCAACGCCTGTAATACCTGACAGTGTGCTGCTTGTGATGTGATGGATTGTCAACAGTTTTACCCAGTGGTGACCCAATTTAACAGCTATTTAAAAACATTGAGTTACTACTAACTCATAATTTTTTCATGCTAAAATGAAACACCTTAAGTAAAATGCTATAAGGAAAATGGTGCTTAAGGCACATGTTGCAGTGACATGAGTAAGTCGTGAATTTAGTGGTACAACTTGGTACAACTTCCATTGGCTGTAAATTTAGTTGTCACTCCAACAGTTAACTGTATTTGTGTTCGGTGAATTGAACCTTTTGCCACCTTCTCCTTTATGACGCCTTCAAAACATGAAATGTTTGACATTTAATTTCACTAAATCAGTACTTTTATATGTAATCATACTAAGTACACTAATTACTGTTTCTTTAAATAGATGTTTGCAATAAGTGGAGAAAAAAATATCCTGCTTCCCTCGATACTACGTCATACAATGCCTGTACACATACAATACAAAGCAATTAAGTGTGATTTGCTATAGCAGAGCACATTCTTAATTGTTTATTGTCAGTTTATTGTCATGCTAGAAACGATTCAGCAGAGAGCGACCATAACTGCCACGCTACTTCAGAACCTCAGCTTAATTGAAGAAATTGTTATTTTCTTAGGTTATTGCTTTTTCCGTGTGGAAATGTATTTTGGTTCTTTCCACTGCTCTTGTGTTTTATTAAACCGAAAGTGATCAAGAAATTAAACAGAGGGGAAATTTATTGCTCCTCAACGTTTCGTTTTGGGATTTTTGGCCTTGCAAGCATTAGCCTCTTTTGCCTATGTTTTTTCCTAATGGTGCCATTCTGTCTCTCCTCTTTCTGCTCGCTCGCCACGTCTCTCCTTCAGTGATCCTCTCCTTCACTGCTCATATACCATTGTACATCATAGCGCTCCTACAGTCGCATCCTGCATTCTCTGCTCGCCCTATAATTATGTTTTTACATTATCGTTCGTCTGTATTTTCTTTCATACTCACATTCATCTATACATATACTGCAGATTCTGTGCCACATGTTAACAAAGCGCAGATGGGAGCGCTGAGTGTTGAATAGCTGTCAAACATGCAGATGTGACCTTGATCATCCCTGAGGGGAAGAGGCGGTCATAAATCCAACTATAATGCCATGGCAACTCTATAAATTCTCCTGCAACACAGATGTGAAATACAGCCAAGACATTTGATGGGATATGACCGATAACTGTGACTCTTATAGTCGACGTTGCACTACAGGTGACGCTGTAGATAATGTTAACGTAAAACTGAATAATAAGCTGTGTTGCTAGTTGTCAGATTTGTGTGCTGTGGGAATCATAAGAATGCATTAGAGTGATATTAATTACACAGTGGGAAAGGTCAATTCCTAGCCACTTTAACAGAGGCAAAATAAAATGTAAAATATGTTGAACAGCATCACATAAAAAGCAATAATAATATCTGATTTAATCTGTCAATGGTGCAGTCATTTTTGAGGTTTGGTACAGATTTAGCTCATACTTTTTGAGAGTGGTTTGGAAATAAGAAACAGCCATGCAGTCTTCTTCTTGTCCTTGTGCACCAGCTAATACAAGAAAGTAACAGCCCGACTAGGAAGCACATGCTCAGCTGATATTTGCAGCCCGAGGTTAGAAGTGAGTTTGACCACATATGAAACGCACCATTTAGCGCGTGTTTGCCATTCCTCCCTCCACTCAGCATGAAGATAATTGGATATAAAACATCAGTGAAAAGTCATAGCTCTTCTCCTGCTGCCCCTGCAGGCCCTCAAAGGCCCAATTCACACATTAAAACATAATTAAACATCATCAGTGGCACGTTAAATGTGGCGGACAGGAGGGGGAGAATGTTCTGTAGTCTGTCTTATAATTCATTTGGATGCAATTGTCATAGACCTCAACCCCTGCCGGACAACCAGTTTCTTTCTGCTGTGTCAAATCCCAACTCTCAATATTTTGGAGTTTATTTTATTGTACTAATATATGATCAAATTAAATGGCCGGCTGAAGTCAAACAGACACTTGC